AGAAGGCAGACACTCTGTGTGTGTGTGTGTGTGTGTGTGTGTGTGTGTGTGTGTGTGTGTGTGTGTGTGTGTGTGTGTGTGTGAGTGAGTGAGTGAGTGAGTGAGTGAGTGAGTGAGTGAGAGTGCGCACATGTGCACAACTTGCCAGAGGGAGAAGTACTGGCTGTGGACCTGATGATATTGTGAGCTCTGTGGACAAAGAATTGCTAAACATTTTTAAAAGGTTCGAGAAAAGTCTTGGTGAGACACCAAACTGTTTAGAAGCTGCTAAGCAGCTTAGCTAGCCAGTATGTTACTTCACTTTGTGAAGAAGTTAAGTCAGGAGCTCCAAAAAAGGGGCTAGTCTCCCTTTTGGATTTGTGGATTTGCGGTGTCTCTACTTTCCCTCCTCGCTCCCCTGTGATTAAAGAGCACGGTTTGGAGCCAGGACCGTCTTGGACTGGCAGTTTTATTTTGGTGAACACCTGGAACTTGTCCTTGTCCTGTTAAGGATGTTCCCATTGCAGTTCTGCACTGTTGTGCCCTTGAACATTCCAAAGGATCAAAACAGCAGGATTTAATTTTTCAGACAACGGCCCTCTTTGTTTTTAATCCTTTACCAGCAGGCGGCAGAGGGAGCCACACCTCTCTGAGACACGAAGACCAGATTGTAGCCTGCTCCAGGAGGACGTGGCTTGCCTTTTACTGGTAGTTGTTTACTCCTGTTCCTCCACTCCAATGATCTGCAACAAGACAGTGTTGTCGGATGTTTGCTTAAAGAAGGTTAAAAGAAAACATCCCTGTGCTTTAAGGCAAGCAGGCAGTGTTTGTTGGTGGATGAGTGATTAACTTGGCGAACACATTTAGCCATCCCCCTCGGACCACACCTACACCATCACCATCTACATCTTTATGATTTCTTATCCATTGCACATCTCCAGTCATTGTTTACACGTCTGTATTGTTTACATTCAAACTGTCTACATGTTTACTTGCACATTGTATACTGTTTGTTTGTATATTGTCTTGATGCACTTTTTGCACTTTGTTTTGTTTTTTACACTTGTTTTACAATCGAGATACTTTCTGTAAGTAAGAATTCCATTGTACCAGTACCGGTTACATAAGGCAATAAAGTTCAAGTTCAAGTTCAAGTTCAAGTTAAACTTTTCCTCCTCCTGCGCCCTGGGCCCCTGTGGGCCGAACACTGGGGCAGCTCCATGCTTCACGCGATGATGCTGCCAGAATCCCACCCTACTGTGTCAAAAACAATATCCCCCGGATGCCAGAGAAATGGTGTAGCTTATCTTGTAAACATTGGTCTTTCATGTGTGAGGCACAAGGCTGGGCTTCCAGCAGCAGGTGTGTTAGTCTTCTCTGCCATCTGTGTGGTGTTTTGATGCAGCTGTTTAGCTGTTTATTCGTTCACTTTCACAAATACGTGCACACCAGTACACGTGCGCTATGCTTTTTATGCTTGTATAATGATGTCAACAACTGTTTGTCTTGACTCTGGTGAGAACTGTTTTTCAGATGTGAAGCGCTGTGTAAGAGAAGAAACAGACTTCTGTCAAGCAAACGGGTTACTGACCTGACTTCCATTTCAATGGCTGTTGTTCCTGGCTGGGCAGAGTAAGGTTGGGAAAGATGGAGCCAGGCCAGGGCAGGGTGGAGAGCTATTGATTTTCTTTTGATGAAATCCAGGAGTCTTTGGTATTTGCTTCCTTGGGTTTACAAAGCTAGAAATCAACTCCCCCCCTCCTCTGCCCATCTGCCTGTCCTGTCTGTGGTAGCTCTGTGTCTGTGAGCAGGGGTCTCTGCTGGAGGAGACGCTGACCCAGGGGGGCGTCCCTGTGCAGGGCCAGACTGCAGCTGAGCCGTTACGAGCCGCAGGTGACGACACCGGGGGGCGTCTGCAGTCTGGCTCTTGTTTTGTTTTTTTATTTTTAACGAGTCTTTCTTACTGTACAACACTGTAATCCCCGCTCAGTGCATATTCATCTTGCGGAATACAAATGAGAGCCGCTTGCTATTAAAAGAAGAGCCCTTAACCTCAGCTGCAGAGCTGTCTGTATTTGGTCCTCAATTCTTCTTTGTTGGTGCAAAATAATGCCAGCAGAGACGCACTGCCTGCATTGCTGGGGATCCTGCAAATTAATGTCGGCATCATCTACCACAGTCATACAGCACTGCGTTGGGAGGCATATTTCAGAACAGGGAGAGCTACTGGTGGAACCTCTAACCCTGTCTTGGTTAGCAGGTGGCTGGTGAGACTGCTGCATTCCTGATTCAGTTTCCCCAGACGACCTGCACACAATCTCTTCCACACTGCAAGGACAGCAGAATGCCCAAGAGGCTCCTTGTTTGTCCCAGAGAAGGGGGAGGCTATAGGCTGCTGAGATAAAAACAGCCTGATGCCCCTTCATCACCATGAAAGGTTTTGATGCCAATAATGGGCAGTTCTCCCATTATTGTACTGCATGTGAGCTGCAAATGTGCTTTTTCACAGTCTGCGTCTGGCTTCATCACCCCCAAGGAACACAGGAACCTTTTGGAACAGGTGGATAAAATTAGTCAGTGCCGGTGACCCCCTCCGACTTACTCCTTCTCCAGCTGGTCCACGGGCTTCTCTGAGAATGCTGGGGCCCGGGAAAGGTGGAAGTGGGCCAGCACAGCTGCATCAGAGTAAACAAAGTCAGAAAGCAGAATCTGAAAAAAACAGACCTGAAATCAGCTCTCTCACTCCGTGTCCCTGACCCACATTTTAATGCAGATGCGTGTTCTTCCTGGAATCCATATGTCAGCTGCAGGCAGCCCGTGCGGTGGTGGAGCAGACATTCGGGCCGTGACTTACTGTCAGAGCCGCTCCCTTGTCCTGCTCTGACAGGTAAGCTTGTGCCTGTCCACCCGGACTTGCGGGTTTCCTCATCCGCCTGTCTGTGACGAGTGGAGGACACGGCTTGTTTCTCGTGCTGCAGGACAGCCTCCTCTCTGTCTCTCTCAGGTCTCCAAACTGCAACTGCCCCTTGAGAAGACAGCAGGGCCATCTTTAAACTTCCTGCTGCATCGCAAAATGTTTTCCTACTACCTGTGAATAAACTCAACTTAACACTTGAAGGGAAAATAATGGTATCATCATTTTACATTTCCAAACCTACCTAATTTCTTTGGTAATTTGCACTTTCTAAACCTGAAGTGTGAAAACTAACCTCATGGTTTTGTTTCAGTCTGCATAGTCAATTAAACAATTAACCTAATTAATTTCCTTCGCAACACGAAAATACATTTTTTACAACTGGTTACTCTAAACATTCACTTCATGAATTGCTCGGTTACCTATAACACACCTGGGGGCCTGGTTAGAAGCACAGTATCAAAGCGACCAATTAATTCAATAATTAGACCAGCTGTGTCACTGTGCGCCCGGGGGAGGAGGGGACAAAACCCGGAACAGCGGCGGGGGCCCCAGGATCTGAGCCCGTGAAGCGAAACCTCTCTCCGGACAAGGGAGGTGAGATGTGCACCAGCCTGTCCTACGGGTCCAGGGGTTCAGTTTCTCCGGCACTTTTGTCAGGCTGCTACAAACTGACAGAATGTCGCCGTAACTGACAGCCCCCGGCAACACAAGCTGTATCATCCGCGCAATCGGTGGTGAAAACTACCAAGCGGAAAGACGGCTCGCTGTTGTTGTCTGACTCACGTTCTGAATGCTATATTTAGAACGGGTCTCAGAAATAACTACGCGAAATGACATCAGAGACTTGTCACCGAAAGGTGATCGTTTTAATTTTATGGCTTCACTACGCGTTAAAGTGATGGAGACGCGCTGCTGGGCAGCGTTAAGAACGTCGGTACTGAGCTTCTCACGCACGGGTCTCGACCCGCCGAACTAAACCCCAGCCCGGCGTCTGCTCTACTCTTTATGACAACGAAATGCTGTTTAGTTAACAAAAGCTGAAGGTTTCTACGTTTTTTCTCTCCTATGCCAATTAATGAGCACAATACAAATGTAAGAGCCGCCCAGTTTTCTAATGGGGCACAATAAAATTTAGGCCTTGAGCTTCTGATTTATAAAACCAGATTCGGGTACCCAAATTATTTTTACAAAATGCATTATATGTAATTTTTATAACATTTAAAATAACATTGTTCTTCAATTAAGCCCACAAAATGGCTGTTTCTACCCGACCGGTCATGTCCAGTCCTTATAGCTAAATGGGACGCTCTCCACGGGGGGAACAGAGGGTCGGGACTAGTCTTTAATTGAGGAGCAGTTTAATGAATTATATACAGAAAACCCCAAGGTTGCAGTCATTTTCTTTTTTTAAAAAAAAAGAAACGTTTAGCTTTTTTATTGCTTGGGTTTATGTTCAAACTCACTCTCATTAAAACTGAGAAAGGTTGCCCCCTTGTGGTGATATTCTTCAACAACTTTACCGGTCAAACGAATTGGCAGTTCATTCTATATCACCCTTATTTATGCCTTTTTTCAAATAAGATGATTAAAAATCATTTAAACATGTAATGATAAGAATTCTAAATTAAACTGATAAGAAAACATTTGAGGGCATCCCCTGTGAGCATCGTCTGGAAATCCTTCCAAGCTGGTCCTACTGGGAGGTCTTGACCATGACCAGAAGACAGGTCTTTTAGAGCCTTTGAGCCCTACAAGGCCCTGGGCCATGTTCTCTGAATGTCCTCAAGATGCCTGCATGGGGACAGTGACGATATGGACACACAGACAGGGGCTCGAGCCCTAGCCTTGGTGCTGGTGTAGGGCTCTCTTCTAGAAGCCTGATTCCGCCTGCAGATGGAGGCCGTGCTCCTGCGAGGCCGGAGAGCACGGGAGTTGGATCCCAGGCCAGGGTGGGAGGGACTCCAGCACTGCAGCAGCGCCCAGTGGCTGTGGCAATGTGCCTCTCTAAAATCTGCCCCAGGGGCAGTCTCTTGTTGCCGCCTGTCCGTGTGAGCCCGCCGCGGCATGCCTTCGCCGGGGCAGAGCTGCATCGGAGCTTGTAAACAGGGGCGTCTGGTTTTTCATGGCCATTAATAATGCACGCCGTGGGCACTGCTCCGGATCCTGCCCGCCAAGCAGGCCGCGCGCTCGTGCCCGGCATTGCGGGCGAGATGACACCACTCCGGGGTTCGAGTTCGGTCTTGTGATGAGTCACAGAGCCCCGGAGACGTGCTGCGAGCAGCCCTGCCTTATTTATTTATACAGACAGACGCAGAGCCCCGCCGCATTAAAATAGAACACGGCCATATCTGGTAACTTGGCTTCACGCACCAGGCAGGGCCGGAGTTAGCAGGCATTCCAGGTGGCCCTGAGGGAGAAATTAATCAATTTCCTACAAATTGCGGTCCTACTGAAAATGTATAAAGCTTCTGTAGACAATTAGTAGTGCTGATAGGTCAGGCTGTGGTTAGGGTTCGTGTGTAGTATAGATCCTACGGCGTATCTGTAGATTCTTTATGAACCTTTTAAAGAACTTGAGCCTAATGTGAAGCATTATGGACAGTCAAGTGAGGAGAGCTTATTATCCTGTTAATGGGGCTGGGCTCAGTAAACTGGGAAGAGTCTGCATGTTGGTTTCCCTGTGTAGAAGTTCTTCTTTTCACAGTACTTATGGTTAAGAAATCAGTGTCTTAATGAGCAACTGACACTTAATACCCATCAGTGACAGTGAGTTATTTGCTATGCGCTTGACAAGAACCTGCTTTAAACCTTTTGTGATACAGCACCAGAAGGAAGAGTGTGGAGGATGTCCCAGGCACTGCTCATGAGTCACTGACGGGTTTGGGAAGCCGAGCCTCAGTATGGAAAGAGCCTGCACTGCTGGATCAAGGGGCGGTGTGTGAATCAGGGCTGCTGTGTGGATACTGTCACAGGGGGACTGTGAACAGAGAACAAAAGCCTCATCCTGCACAGCCCAGACCCGCCCAAACCAGCTTCGAAGCTGCTCCCTCAGTGTGTGGGATATGAACAGTCTTGAAACACCCAGGGGGAGTGGAGGAACTCCTAAAGGCACATTATCTATGCTGAGCCCTGTTCTAAAAATGCAAAATGTGCATTCAAGTATGAACTCCCAACCAAACCGCTTGCAGAGATTGTAGGGACATAGGTAAGTATTCTAAAAAAGTCTGGGTTTTGTTGAAACCCAGCTAGTAAATGGAAGCCAGCTGATTTAAAAAACAAAGTGACTAAACAACCACCCTTCTCTCCCCTAGGCTTCTCAGTCTGTCTTCAGCCAGTGTTAGTCTTCCTTAGTCATGCTGTGAATCACAGGGCGTGAAGTGCAGATCCCAAGTGGCTGTGCAGTACCATTGCTGTCCTCGCACCTGGGTTACCTGCAGCTCAACTGTCTTTTTTCTTTCAGTATGTGGGCAATAAGAGCCGCCGGGAGCTCGGCTCAGGCGGCCTGGTCATTCCTGCAAGTGTCTAGGAGCACAGTCAGCTCTCCCTCAGACACACACGCAGTGCCATGTGCTCCAACTTCCCTGCCCTCCCACCAGCTGGGCCCCTGGTGCTGGCAGAGCTGGGCAACCGAGGTGACAAATCTATCTGCATCGTCTGCTGGCCGGCAGGAGGTCTGTGAGTCCCCCATGTTCTCTCACAGAGACTGGAGACCACGCAACAGCCTTCTCTCATGGTACTGCAGAGGGAAAGAAAGGACCAGCACAACAAAACAGGACAAGATGGACAACATTCTTGTTTACCTCTTGGGTGACAGTTGTTAAAATTGACATTTTTCATTCTTCTTCAGCACTCTTTGGTCTGGGGACTGTGTCTTTGGGACAGGTTCCAGGTGCAGGCAGGCGAGGGTCTGTAACCATCCTTAAAAATAGTTGTATTACGCTATTTTGTTCCTCAGAAGCAGACTGGCTTCTCCAGAAGCTGATGATGCTGCTTTTTGAAAGTGGTGGGCTGTGTTCACGAGAACGATTCTGTCTTGTTATATTTTGCCGATTTTGCGTTCCGCTATCTTACGGAAGGTGGGCTGTGTGCAGGTGCGGCTGAAGTCTGAGCACAGCGCCACCCGCAGGGCTCCCTCTGAAAAGCAGGACACCTGAAGAGAAACTGTGACATTGTGGCTGTTATGAGTGTTTCGGGTCAGGTCTGGGATCAGGCCTCTTTGGGTCTGATGGGAGCTGCCCCTGAACTGGTGAGATGAGGCCTTTGCCAGAGATTGAAGGGTTTTAAAATATGGTGACACATATCCATGAAAAAGCCCAGCTCCCATTCCTCCCCTGCATGCTGAGTGGAAGCTGATGTAGAGTAACAATGCTTTTCCCCGGAGTCTGTATCAGACAGATGAAGCTGGGATCTCCTTTACCGCAGGTCTTCTGGTCGTCCACTGAAAGTATGCTATGCTTTTCAGCTGCTCTCATGAGGGGCAGCTACCTCTGATACCTCTGCCCCTTATTCCCCTAAAACTGTCCCAGCCAAGTGCTCTCAGCAGCCTCATTCAGATAAACCTGTCCCCCCTTCACTGCGGCGCTGTAAGTGATGAAGACTGCAGGGGCACAGGCCTGCCGTGTCTTCTTCACAGCGGTGAGACTGACAGACAGCTGTTCTTCCTCTCGCTCTCTTTCCTTCCCAAACTGCGCCAGCTTTTCTCTTCCTTTCTTCTCTTTTCAAACTCCTTTCTTGCTGGCGACAAAGGAGACAGAAATGCATTGAATTTTTCTTGGCTGGTACTAGCTTTCAAAGAGTCAAGGACAGTAATGAATAAAAATATTAATTAGTAAAAAAAACCCCTAGGATACAAGCAAATATTATTTATGTCCCTGACTGGATTGCATAGAGTGTCTTGCAACAACCATGATAGCTATTAGGTTCTGCCGAAATTACACCTTTTGAAGTGTTAATTTGTCTATTGGAATACAAATAGAATAAATTGAAAAAGATATCAGATGCTAACTTTAAGTCTGTATTAAAATTCTAGTTCTGTCCATCATCTTGTTCTTTGAGAGCTTTCTGGCGGTTAGTTGCATACAAAGGTGAGCGAGCTCCCCCTACTGATGAAAATCCACCAGACAGCTTTTGCTGCTGGGGAAACTGGAGGTGAAAATTGGGTTGCTGAGACCATGTAAATTCAAGACAGTCTTATCCACCAGTGGGACTTTTTTGTTAGACCATAGTTAGCTTCTTAATCTTTGAAAGTAAACTAACAATAATAAAAGGTATTCAAAACATTTTAATCCCTCATCTACAGTAGAAAACAGTAGAACATCTCTTACTCATTGTTCTGTGTTTGTGTTATTGTCACATGGTGCTCTGTAAACCTGCAGAATTACTGTAATACTGTCTTAGAAAATACAGTGCAGCTCTTTAATTGCATTCCTGTGGCTCTCTTCATCCCACAGATTCACAGTTTACATATAAGGCACAAAGGACAAGAGTTAGAGGGTCAGCACTTGGAGTGAAGCTGTGAGAGGGTCAGTGAAGGTGAGTGATGGTGTGTGAAGCTGTGAGAGGGTGAATGACGGTGTGAGAGGGTGAGTGGGGGTATATATGAGTGAGGCTGTGTGTGGGTGAATGTGGGTGTGAGAGGGTGAGT